AATCCTCATGCATAAAAAAAAACATTTAATTATTTTTATTTTATTTTTATTCGAACTTTTTTATACCACCTTCTTACTATTCGTGCCAAAAAAATCGCAATCATATTCATTCAAAATATTTGAGACGCTGAATTGTTGTACGCATATTCGCTGTACGCAGAAAAAGATATCGAAATTTTAATGTGTAAAACAGAGTAAAAAAAAAATAAATTTTTACCTGCAATATTCGTGTAACAGATATCTTCTTCATCGGTTCTAACATGTAAGGACAATCGTTACAAAACACATTCGTAGAAACATCAGAGACGTCGATATCCATATCCAGTATATCGTTATAAATGTTCACCAACCTGGAATCAAACCTGTTTCATTAATCGAAAATTAAAAAGTTGCAAGACTTTCACCTGAAAATTATCCTAAGTAGCTCATCGCTCTTGCAATCGACGATTTCGTTAATCAAATTGCGAGTAAATCTCGCGAGGACGTTCAATTTTCGTTTCAACATCATCAAAAAATGTCTCATCTTGTAATTATAAATTGGATGTGCACTGAGACTCATCGTACTGATCGATTTATATTCTTCTTTCATCTCTTCTAAATCGTTTGCGATTCCATTGTATACCTGTACTCAAAATACGATTCAAAATGTTTATTCAAGAAAAAAACATTTATATTCATTCGTGAAACTTTTCAGATTTAAAAAAACAATTTTTAACAAACTTTAATTTCATGAATATTTCACTAGTTTTTATAAAATTTATTCTATATCCAAAAATTTTGATATCGATAAACAATGGAAGCTTTCTCAAATGCAAAATGAAAATATAAAATATGAAATTTCAATTTTAAAATATTGAAAAAGAAATAGCTAATTCCTAATTGAATTTGAACAGCATGAAAATTTTCCTCTTTATCGATATCAAACAGAACATTGCAGAGATATTATGGATTAATTTTAATAAAAAATTAAATTAAATGCACAAATTGATCATGAAAAAGAAAACTTTCACACCTTTGAATCGTATGTTTGAGCGTCTGCAATGTCTCGAATAATTAATGCTATGTTTTCCACAAAATTGTCCATTCTTTTTGTGAGCATCGATGAGTCTGTCAACCATTTCTCAAGAACATCACTCGGAAATGGCAACCATTTGCCGATATTTATTCTATAATTAATATCCATATGGCTAAAGAACTTCAAAATAATCAAAAATTTATACTAATTTTTATTTTTTTTTCAAATCAATTGTATAGAAAATTGTGTAATTATTATCATTTGTGATTTCGAGATTTATATCATTTCTAAATGCCATAATTACAGATTGAACACCTGTCAAATTTGAAAGAAGATATACTTTATGCTATAGCAACAAACATCTTTGTCATCTTTATATTATTCTATTATTAATTTATTAAATACTTGTGATATTTGTTCGATTTTATTGAATCACCAAATTATGTAATGAGCGATGAGATTCTTCGAAAATGTTTCTGATAATCGATCAAGAATACACGGTTGAATAATATTGAGATGTTAAAAGACAAAAATGAAACTAAGCAATTTTACTTTACACTAAGCAAAAGTCGCGTATAACTCGAGTAGAGTTGCCAGGGGAACGCCTAACGAATTGCAATTATTCATGCAATCAAAGAAACATAAAGATCAGTGTATTATTTTGTCTTAAATCATTCTTTTGACGATAATGATTTCAAATATTGATATCAAATATCAATACTGTTTGTATTGAACAAAGAAGAGAAAGAAATTTTTTTTATATTTAATATCTTATCTTCATTTTATTATTTTATTATAACGTAATTGTGTTGGTCAAATTGTTTCTTCGGTGAAGTATCTACTTATACAGAATAATCAATTGTTCAAGATAATTTATCTTTAGTAATAATATATTTTAATTTCTCTTATTTTCTTAAACTGTACGTATTATTGTGCATTATTATAACCTATTTTATGTGATATTTGAATATTAGATTTCAAATTATATATATATATATATATAATTTTAAAACATGAGTTGTATGAGAAATTTAATTCATATGTGTACCAAATTACGTATAAAAAATCAATGTAAACATAAGGATAATAGTAAGTATATGCAAGAATTAAAAGTTAATTTAAAAAATTATATAAATATATAAGTGTATGTTATAATATAAGTGTATGTTTACAAAAAGAAATGAGGATTGGTTACTTCTGATAGATCGGATATAAAAGTAAAAAAGAAAAAGTCGTAAGTCTTATAATCGCAAAGTCACAGATTATATAGTAAATTATACATAATAAAATCGTTGACTTTTGTGAGATAATCATTGAAATATATAATGGGTAAATATATTTTCAATATTCTTTTATATATTTATCCTTATGCACATTCTATATTATTTCAGGTAACTCGCAAAATAAAAATATTCCAAAACAAAAGAATACAGATATACTTCATGCATACAATCTAAATCGAACTACATTTCCTAATGTTATACCACCTTCATCGTTTATAACGGAAGACGAATTTTTCAAAACATGGTGCTCTTGGAAAAATGAATTCTTAACATTCAAAAAAATTTTAAATAAAGAGAATTTTAATAAGGAAAAATGGGGAAATCTGTTATTAAATTTAATGGGTCCAATTGGACAAAATATTCATAGCACATTTCAATTTAATTCTCTGAATGATAAAGAAAATGTAGATATATTACTTGAAAAATTTGATGAATATTACATATTTTCAGGAAGAAAAAAATTACCTTTAGAAAATATATATAAATACATAAACGACTTACAAGTAAAAAAATTTAAAAATTTATAACAAAAATTTTAATAAAAA